GCAAACGGTGCGGTTGCGGGGCAAACCCGCATAAACCCGCAAAAATTTCAACCCGCCCCGTATAGCATTTGCACCCGCATCCACCCGCCCCACACCTACACCCGCATCCACCCGCGCCGCCCCGCACCGCATTACCAATTTTCTGTCATTTATGGAATTTCATGATAATCATGATCGCCAAATCTTATCTCTTAAATATATACATATTTTTGAGTCGATAAGCAAGCGTTAGGCGTGCATGTATATTAATTTTCACTAAAACTATTCGAACCAGATGAGATTTGATTTACATATTTAAATGATTCCAAATTAAATTGATAATAATAATAAAAATAATAATAATAATTGAAACTGACAAATGAATCAGCGCATGTTGCTATCTTACAACAAGTGCTATTACTTTACGAAAGTTTTAAGATTTGCAAACTTTACCTTAAACAGGGTTGGATATGTTACTATTTAGTTGGCTGCTATTATTAGTTGTATTATTTTTTAAGTGACAAATATTAAAATAATAATTTTTGGGTAACAAACTTTTCAATAGATGATTAAGTGATAAAAGTTAATAATTTGATCATAAAAATATTTGTCTCAACTACATTTTATATTACGTTAAATGTCTAGCTTTTTTATTTTATTCAAAATTTCTAACTTAATTAACATTTCACTAATTAAAAGGTGTACCGTAAGAGAAGAAGTTATAAATGATTTAGTTTGTTTTTATTAAGTATCAAATATTAAAATAGATATTCTACTATTTTTGTCGCATACTTTCCTCATGAGTCATGTCTTACTGGGTAAAACAATAGGCCAAATCCAGTAAACTTGTGCAAACCCGCGAAAACCCGCGTAGATCCGCAACCGCCCCGCCCCGTGTTAGCCTTTTAAAAAGTTATTTCAACCCGCCCCGCAACCGCCCCGCACCGTGTAGCTTTAGACCCGCTCCGCCCCGCATAGCCTTAAACCCGCCCCGCCCCGCACCCGCACCGCCCCATTTGCCATCCCTAAATGTACCAGCTATTTGTGGGGTTGCACAGAAACTGTGGAAGGAAGTGGCAAGAAGTCAGGGGGAAGTGGTTCAGGGGAGGCTGTTGAGGGGTTAGTTAATATAAGTTCACAGGGAGATGAACCTGGTTCATCAATTGAGGAGACCCTAGCAAACCTTCTGAAAAAGGTAAGTTCCAGTTATAATCCAAAGAAGAGGAGAACTCCAACAACAAAAGCCCCCAGCACTGCTAAACCATCCAAGAAACGAAAGGCCTCCTCCCCAACAACTACTGAAATTCCATTGCCAAAGGGGAGAGCTACAAGGAGTAGAGTGAAACTGGTTGAGAGTGAATTTCAAAAGGCTTTGGCTGAAAGCAAGAAAAAAAGGATGGACAAAGGAAAGGGTAAGGTTGCAGAGTCCTCTGAAGTTGTTGATGTTGAGGAGATAGAACAGGTCCATCAAGAGAAAGATACAACAGTGGAGGTTCAGACACCAAAGCCCAAAAAGACCAAGACTTCTCCCAAGAAGTCTTCATCTGTGTCTAAGGCTGCTGAACCTGCATTGGCCAAGAGGACAAGGTCTGGAATGAAAAACAAACAAGTTACAACCTCTAAAGATGAGTAATGGAGTGGTGAAGTAGAGAATGAGTCTGAGGGTGAATAAGACAAGTTGGCCATGTTTGGAAAAAGAAAATTTTTGAAGGGAAGATTGCTGAAAGATTTGGTGGAACCAGGAATGGTTTGTTTGGTTGACACCCTAGTTGCTGAGGGCTAGAAGGACATGGTCCTTCAGATGGATGGGAGATTGGCCAGAAATGAAATCATTGAATTCATGGCGAATGCTGAGGTCAAAGATGGCATAGTTACAAGCAAAGTCAAAGGAGTTCAAGTGACCTTTGATGCAGAGAAGCTGGGAGAGATTCTTGACATACCTGCTGAGGGGTATGATGACTACACTAGACAAAGATGGCCAAGTCTGGATTTCCTTCCTTCTACCCTTGAAATCACTAGGAGATTCTATGATGTTGAAGAAGTGAATGATGCCAAGTTTGTGCACAAGAGTGAAATGAAGCCACATCAAAAAGTCATTTTTGAGTTTGTCAACAAGTGCCTACTGCCCAGGCAGGAGAGAAGGCATATTGCTAACTATATAGACTTAGTTCTGATGGAGTGCCTTGAAAGTGGAAGGCAAATTAACTGGCCTGCATTCATCATCAAGCTACTGGACAGGGTCATCAATGGCTCCAAGGCTCATGCCACCCCTTATGGATTTATTCTAACTACTGTTCTGGATAGGTGCAATGTGCCTCTGAAGAAGTGGGAAATGGCCACAAGAAAGGATTACTTTGGCATTAATACTCTGCTTGCTTGTGACTATTTATTCAATGTCAGTCCAAATGAACCTGGTTCATCCAAGAAGACACCTATCAACAATAAGGTCAGGGCTCTTGTTCAGGAAAGTGAGGCCAAGGATGCTGAGATAGCTAGGCTAAAGGCTCGTTTGGCAGAGGTTGAATCTGAGAGGGATGCTCTGAGAACTGAGCTTACCAAGGAAAAGGAGAAGAATGATGGGATTCTTCACAATATACGAAATCTTCTCCAAGCCCAAAACCAACCCTCTAGCTCCCCCAAGCCTTAGGAATTTGAGCCTTTGTCTCCTGAACCCGTCTAGTACCTTCAGTTACCCAGATTAGTGATTTTTTTCTTTTTGCTCATGTTTTTGAATATTTTTGCTTTGTGGTTGTGGATTGTGGTAGCAACATATCCTCTAACAATGATATCTACTATTTTGCTCTTGTTGACTATTAATATTTCCTTGATAGTTTGAATATGTTTGCCTGATTACTGATGATTGATCCATGATTGCACTTGCAGTTGCCCCAGTGGCCATGAGTACTTATTAACATCTGGGTATCATACTATGTTTCTGCAACTTTTCGATGATGCCAAAAGGGGGAAGAGATATTGTGCTGTACATATTCTGAATATGTGATGATTATGACCTAATTAACCTGGTCCTTGATGATAAGTGAATTTTTCTAAACTTTGTATTGATGAATAAGCTGAGTTCTTACAGGGCCTAAGTGAGTAAAAAAGCACAGAGTTTGTCATCATCAAAAAGGGGGAATTTGTTGGCCTAAGTAAGAGTGAAGTTTTGAAGATTGACAAAAGAACTCAGTCATGGACCAGGTTAATCTTGTGAGGCACAGTAGTAATCAACCCAAACATGTGAGATGCACGTGAAGGAGATAAGCCTAACTTATCAGAAGTGATATCTCCTGATCATGATCGAAAATATTGCATATTGGATAAGTCCTTACACAAAGAGAACACGGTTTAGGAAAAGGATACGAGTTAGAGTATGAGATCAACTAGAACTCTTCTACTATGGAAAGAGTAGCACGTGTATCCTAGTCAATCTCTAATTACTAACTCCTTAAGTATCAGTATTGTTCTCTTTTACAGGTAATGCACATAAGTTGAAGTTAAACGTGAATTGAGAGCAAAATAGCAAGGCAATTTTGCAAGCAATTTATGTGTGATTCAAGCATGCAATCCTGAAGCTACTTGAACTAGATAGAAGAACCAGTTCCAAGTGTCTATCTTTTATTCTAGTTCAATTGTAGTAGGTGATTTTGCATTGTACCTTTCAGCTTTTATAGAAGCAATTGTATTAGGTACTTAGAGGTTTCAAGTTAGAGTTAACTTGAAGTTGTTGCAACAGTTGAGGCTGTGTGCTACAATGGGATTAGAGTTAATCCTAGGTTTATAAAAGAGTTTTTGTAAATGCAGTTTTTGGCTCAGTGATTTTAGTGGAAGTTTGGAAAAATCCTATTGAGTAGTAGGTCGTGGTTTTTCACCTTTTGGGCCAGGTGTTTTCCACGTAAAAATCTCCGTGTTCTTTATTTTCTGTACTTATTATTCTGCAAACAGTTGTAGTTGGAACACATAGAAGAACCAGGTCCGTCTATAATCAAGTTAAGCGAAAATTGGGTACCACACAAATCACCCCCCTCCCTTTGTGTGGTATTGAAGTATAAAACATCAATTATACAAAAAACTGACTTCGTCTTCTTCCTTGCGTCTTTTCTGAAATTTAACTCAAATCTTGCTCAAATCTACTCCAAATCACTTTAAATTTAAATCTTTAACTCCTTTTGATATTTGCAATCAACTGGAACAACACCCAATCCAAACAACTAACAAACTCAAAAAATCATATTTTCGAAAGCAAAGCTTTGAATAGCCTTCAATGGCGGACTTCTACTTTTTAATTTTCTTACATTGCAACCAGGTGACACAGGGGGAGAAGCAGAAAATACTCAGCCCCTTGAGGCATATGTAGAAGATATGAGAAGAAGAGAGAGTGAAAGCAATGATTGTGAGAATACATATTTAACTCCATAGCTTTTAGAAGCATTGATTGTAAGAATACAGATTTTGAATTTGCGAGTGCTTTCAAAATATGTACAATATGGGCTAGGTAGGGTAAAACTTAAAAACATGGGCCATTTTTTGTTACAATGTGAAGTCATGTGTATTTTCTTGTAATTCTTTCTTTAATTTTTTACTGGAGGACGTAGCAGATATTTTATGGAACAATCGAGGTGCTTATAAACTGGTCGGAACATTACGATTATCAAAATAAGATTAAGAAAGTAAATTATACTAATGGTGTAAGTTTGGAATGGAAAAGGGGTGGTATTCTATAATATTTTTGAGTATTAAATATTTACTCCATATGTTAATTACAACAAATGACATGATCAACAAAGTCAGAATAATCATAGACAAATTAATCATGTAACTCATTTTCTCCCATTTGGTATAACTTATACACATCAACATCAATTTAAGCCTTAAGATAATCAAATATCATTGAAATTTTGTCTTACCCCTCCTTCTCACTCCTTTCTTCAGTCTTGAAAAAGTCAACAATAGTATCCCACCCTTATTTAATTAATTAACTCCTTTTGTAGTAACTAACATACTATTTCTCCAGCCGCCCATCCAACCCAATTCAATCTATATATAAATATGCACAGAAACAAACCTAGAGATAAGAAACTAATCCTTCAAAAACAGAGATTGACAATCAAAAACAACAGAAAGCTAGCTAGCTGAATTTGGATATATGGAGAAACCATGCATGTCAAAGAAGAAAACAATCTTCAAGTTGTTACCAAAAGCAGCAGCAGCAGCTGTTTTCATATTACAAAATGCACATGCACCTTTTAGTCCAAGTAGAGAACAGAGATTAGCCACAGATTATCATCACAAAAATCATCATTATAAAGGATTTGCTGGTCCCATCATATCAGTAATCCCAGCAGATCAATCCGGAAGAAATAAATCAGAACCAAGTTCACCAAAAGTTTCATGCATTGGCCAAATCAAACACAACAAAAAGAAGATGTTGAATAGCAGTAGTAGTAAAAATCTGCAAAAACATCATGTTAAGAAGAAATCAGTTTCAAGTTTTGGAAATATATTTGCTGGAAAAGCAAAATTACTTCCAGGGAGGAAATCTGATGTTTCAGCTGATAATATTATTGCTAAGCTTCCTGATAGAGCACCTTGTTTGAGTCAAATGAAAAGGTTTGCAAGTGGAAGAGAACCTTTGACCAAGTTTGACTGGAGATCAATACAAATTACAGCAGAAGATCGTGATCTCAAGTACTATACAGATGATGAAGACAGAGGATATAGTGAGGATGAAGAAGATGAATTTAACATTGGTTTTCCTGCTCCAATAATAATAGGTAGATGTAGAACAAATATCACATTGGAGCCAAGGAAAGAAATTAATTTATGGAAAAGGAGAACCATGAATCAACCTAGGCCTCTTCAATTGAATACCGTTGTTGGCTAAGTGTTTTACTTTCCATTTCTTTAATTCTCTTAGTTCATTTGTACTTGATTCATTTCAGTGTAATAGTTTATAATAATGCTCTAAGGTGAAAATTAAGTATTTTTCAAGTAGAGTTGAAGTTATCTATACTGTATATATATAGCTTAAACTATTTTCGAGCCTGTGTATCAGCTTCTCCGATCCTATGGAAGGAGAGTCTTGGAGCAACGGTAAGGCTATCTTCGTGCGACTTATAGATCACGGATTTGAGCCGTAGAATCAGCCACTAATGCTTGCACTAGGATAGGCTGTTTACATCACACCCATTGGGTGCGACCCTTCCCCGATTCTGCATTAACATAACATACCTTGTATACCGAACTGCCTTATATCAGCTTCTCCTATGATTTTAGGGTTGTGGGCTGAATTCTTGATTAAACAAGGAACAAAAGCCAAGTCATGATCCGACCAAGGAAGAATCAAAGAATAAATAAAATAAGCCATTTGATTTATTTGTTTCCTGTCCCACACGCAAGATATGGATGTTTTTTTTTTCCATTAATATTATTTTTTTATATGGATGTTCACGTTCACCTACAATTTTGTTAGGTGGTAGCTAGTAGCTACTATTTAATTATGCACGCAGTTGTCGTTCGGGGTGGATGGCTCGGCAAACCAGCAGCCATAATTGAGCGTTTACCTAATAGATTCCAAATATTTCTTACTCCCTCCGTCTTAATAGTGAATTTTTTTTTTTTTTATAGAAAAGTGATACTGTATAGCCACTCTTAAAATAATAGTCGATAAAATATACATTTTTTGTATACATGTATATATATGGTAAATCGGTTTGTATTATATACTCGAATTATAGAGCGACACGTGGAACCGGAGACGAACGGAAAGCGAGGTAAGTGGAAACCAAGACCGGAGACAGCAGCTTCGGTTGGCACCGAGTAGACCGCGAAGGGAATATTGCCAATGAAGACAAATGAATGTTTGCCACCCGATGACATTTAATGAAGAATATTCTACAGTATTAAATACACAATCCGTTATAGAGAATTTTGGCATTCATAACTTGCCATTACACATTCATTAATGGCCTCCATAATTGTCATTTAAGAGGGGCTTGATCCTAGGACCTTGTTCTCTAGGTGCAGCTATAAATAATGACTTCAACAACCATTGTAGGACATAAATTGTCTAATAAACTTATGCTGCATATTATTCTAAAACTCAACAACACTTTATTTCCTACCTATTGATATTCTTATTACTGACTTCAGAAGCTCTGCTCCCGGATCAAGCTATTTTATCTCTTATCTTGATTTCAACACGACGTCTTACATTTTATTTAATATGAAATCATTTTGGGATCAAATCGATTCGCTTGTCTATAAACCACGTTACAAATTTAACTGTACCGTTTTACGGGTAAATAGTGTGGCGCCCACCGTGGGGCTTAGATAGTTGTGTAATTGAGTTGCTCCTGGCATCTATTACTACTATGTTTAATTCTTTACTTCTTAGCGAAAAATCGTAAAAAGAATGGAAGATAACGATGTCAACAACGCACACAACGTTGAGTCCCAAGGAAATACGCCTCTACACGAAGATTTAATCAGCGATACTTGCAACGAGGAGGATGTAATCCATGGCGAGCAATATCCACGACACGTTCGGGAGGCAACTCCTGATGATGCTGAAGACGAGCACATTGTGGAAACAGTGAGAATCTCGAGGGAACAACAAAAGGCTATTATAGGCCATCTCTTGCGACAAATTCAGGCCATGACAGAGTTGTGGCAAGCGTCGTTGGGTGCTTCCAAATACGCGAATGAAAGAGATCCAGTTCCTCCTGGTGCTCCAACAAACCAAATAGCACAAAGGGTTAATAACAACACCCCAAGGGGTGAGGTCGGCTTCGACGGAGCCGAGGGGAATGGCAGCGGATCTGGTAACCACAATGGGAATGATCTCTTTAAAATCAAACTCATGCTGTTTATGATGGAAATAAGCGCCCGAATAGACCAAATCTGGGGCGCGCCGCTAGTGATGAAAGGAGCAGACTCGAATAAATACACCCAGTTGTCATTCAAACCGAGCGCGGCACCAGAGTTAATCCCGAAGCGGTTCAAAATGCCGGACGTGCCAAAATATGATGGGACTTAGAATCCTAGGAGCACATCACACCTACACAACGGTGGTGAACGGAAACGACTTAGCTGCGCCCGAGACTGAGTCAGTCTTGCTGAAAAGGTTTGGGGAGATCCTCACGAAAGGGAGCCCTGACATGGTATTCACTTCTACCCGAGCACTCAATAGATTCCTTCGAGATGTTCGCGAATCTTTTATCAAGGCCCAGGCCGAGGCCAGTAAGGTGTAGGCCCGAAAGTCCGATATATTCAAAATTGCGTAAAGATAGTCTGAATTGTTGCGAGAGTTTGTGACCAGATTTCAGAAGGAAAGAATGTTGCTACCGACCGTGCCAAATGAATGGGTGGCTGAGGCATTTACTAAGGGGCTAAACTTGAGAAGATCTCACGCTTCCTGAAACTGAAAGAAAGTGTGCTCGAGTTATCAAACAAGGGTCGAAATTGAGAGAAGAATAAGGAAAGTTGAAGGATGATTTCGACACGGATCGACGGTCTTCTGAAGGCCAATTTTTGCCCTACGAAAGGGCCGAAGGATGCGGCAAAAGTTTTCGATCGGCGGACAGGTTCGCTACCGATAGAAGAGTTGACCGCGGCCGGAATAAAAAATCGTTGCAAGACATAGAGACTTTAGGTTCTCGTGATTTCACCTACCCTAGATTGTCCGAGTATAATTTCAAGGTCAGCTTAGTGGAACTGGTATCGGCAATAAGGAACATTAAGGAAGCGTGGTTCCCGAGGCTGATGATATCTGATCCCGGTCAGAGGGATCCTAATATATGGTGTGAGTATCATCAGAGTAACGGCCACCAGACTAGGGACTGCCGACATCTGCGTGAGGAGGTGGCGACAATGCTGAAAAATGGCCATCTCAAAGAGTTCTTAAGTGACCTGGCAAAAAATAACTACGACTTCAACCGGGATAACACATAACCCTCGAAAACAGGAAAAGATCATTCTCATCTAAGATCAATATGATTTTCGAAGGGAACGAGATTAATGGTGTAACTTTTTCAGCAGCAAAAAAGACAAAGGTATCGGTGACCCATAGCAAACAACTTCGGGAAGTTGCGGAGGACGATATCACCTTCACGGAGAAGGACGCCGATAGCCTCCTACTATCACACAATGATGCCCTGGTAATTTCTCTTAATGTTTTAGATTTTAAAATTAAACGTGTTTTGGTTTACCCAGGGATTTTAGCCAATATTATCCAATGGAGAGTGCTGGAACAAGCCAACCTAACTGGAAGCATCATTCCGGCCACAAAGCTCCTCGCCAAGTTCAACTTAGCAAGTGTGACAACCCGAGGGGAGATCTTGCTGCCCACAAATGCCGAAGGGGTCATAAAGACGACCCTGTTTGAAAAAGTAGACTGCGACATGGGCTACAACATTATTCTAGGAAGACCATGGCTACACGAGCTGAAGGTTGTGCCATCAACATATCATCAACTTCTGAAATTCCCAACTCTAGAGGGAATTAAACAAATAAGAGGAGATCAACCGGCGGCAAGGGAGATGAACGTGATCTCGGTTTCCAGTATTAAAGGGAAGGAACATGAGGCATAGCAATTACAGGAACTGACGCCTGCTCCTGACCAAACAAAGTCGACAAAGGGGAGGAGCCGTTGAAATCCTATCATGTACCAAGGTATTTTTAGGTACCAGCAAAATGGACGCAACCAAATCCACAGCGGAAGAACTCAAACAAGTCAGATTGTTCGAGAATTTCTTAGAGAGGAAGTTCCACTTTGGGACAGGATTGAACCCCAAGCTCAGGTCAGGATTTATAGATTTTCTTAAATTCAATGTTGATTATTTTGTGTGGTCGCATGCGGATATGAGAGGTATTCCTCTAGAGGTGTCTGTGCACAAATTAAGCCTGGATCCTAACATCCCTCCGGTAAGGCAAAAGAAACGCTCTATTGCCGAGGTCAGAAACGGGTTTGTCAAAGAAGAGGTAACTCGATTGCTTGATATCGGTTCAATCCGAGAGGTAAAGTGTCCTGACAGGCTAGCTAACGTAGTAGTAGTTCTAAAAAAGAATAATAAATTTTGCATGTGTGTTGATTTTAAGGATCGGAATAAGGCATGCCCAAAAGACTCGTTCCCATTGCCAAAAATTGATCAAATGATTGATATAATGGTTGGGCACGAGTTGATGTGTTTCCTTGATGCCTATTCCGGGTACAATCAAAGAAAAATGAACCCGGAAGATCAAGAAAAGACTTCGTTCATAATGAACTTTGGAACATATTGCTATAATGTGATGCCTTTCGGGCTTAAGAACGCTGGAGCCACTTATGAGAGGCCTGTGAACAAAATGTTCGAAAAGAAAATAGGGAAAATGATGGAAGTTTACATAGATGATTTGTTGGTTAAGTCTTTGAATGCAGGTGGTCATCTAAAGAACCACAAAGAAACCTTTGACATCCTAAGGAAGCATAATATGAAGCTTAACCCTAAAACGTGTGCATTCGGAGTAAGCTCCGGTAAATTCTTGGGTATACTGGTGTCACAAAGGGGGATCGAAGTCAATCTCGATAAAATTTAAGCCATCGAGGACATTCCCGACCAGCTATGTGAAAGAAGTTTAGAGGTTAACAGGAAGACTGGCTGCTTTAAGCTGGTTCATTTCCCGGTCTTCGGAAAAATGCTATCAATTCTTCTTGCTTCTAAAAAAGAAGAACAACTTCGAATGGACTCCAGAATGCCGGTAGGACTTGAAAGATTTGAAAGAGTATTTATCAAGCCCTCCGTTACTATTAAAATCGGAGGAAGGTGAACCGTTGCTAATTTACTTAGCGGCCTTGGAGGTAGCGATAAGTGCCGTTTTAATGAAGCTACGCAATCTCCTATCTATTATGTTAGTGAAATTTTAACAGGAGCGGAAACTCGCTAACCACACCTCAAAAAACTCGTCTTAGCTCTCGTAGTCGCCGCTTGAAATATTAGGCCTTATTTTCAATGCCACC